TAATCTTCGGGGATTTTAGATTGGGAACACAACAAAACACTAACACTCAGGGATTTGGAAATAGTCAGACGCCTGCTAATATCGATGATTCGTTTTTAGATCGAATCAACGAATTGTTAAACGAATTCAATCAATGGCACCAGCGTGACCAAGAAGAACAATAACGTCGTCTATCATTTTATTTTTAGATCATATGTTACTAATTTTATGCTTTATTGTAGTCCATGTATGTTGATATACTTATTTCATGATAATTATATGTTTATCCTTTTGTGTGATGTAAATTAAATGCTGAATGGCGATTCATGCAGGGAAAGAACATATCAATATTCGCATATTCATTTAAAAACATGAAAATTCTTAATGGAGTACCCTCATTTCTTATTGAATTCCTAAAAAACAATATTTATAATGAATTTTAATAATTTTTTCGGATTTTTTTTAGGCTTTATTATGACCGATTCACCCAATTCCTGATCCGGATCGCCGATTCGCCGATCCGGATCAGTTTTTTAGAAGCTCGATCCAAATCACCGATCCGTTTTTTAAACCATTGGTTTTATGCATCCAAGAGAGAGATGCTTTGAAAAAGTAACATGAGGATATTTTTGAGTTAAACATCATATACAAATGTATTTTCTTTCATTTCATTTTTCTTTTTTTTTTTTGGGTGAGTAAGTGGGGAGAGGCCCCTACCCCTTGTAGGAATTGAGCCTAGGACGCAATATTACAAATGGTCGAGTGCTAACCAGTTAAGTCTCTTTTCCCACCCATTCCTCTGGTTCTCTGCGTTAACATGCACTTCAATTTCTTACAGAAAAGGACCTCCAACCATAGCATTCCCTAGAGTACCAAACAAATACCTAGAATAAGATTGCCAAGCAATTAAGGGAAACGTTTACATAGAGCCTAAGCTCTAAACAATCAAATTAGCGCCTATCTCAAAACTTTTACTAGAAGACGTTGTTTTGATGCCCAAATATCATCAAATCGATCATCTTGACATCAAGATGCATGGACATGAGAAAAAAAATGGATTTCAAATTTGAAAAATAGTGCATCTTGTAACGCATTTTGGAACCGTCAATTTCCAAGATTATCAAGTTTTCATAGATCTATTCGATCTACACTATTTTTCAAGCTTTAAATTTTATAACTAAAGATGAAAAATATAATTTAAAGCTATCACAAAACTTTCCAGTATTGAAACCATATTTCTCGACACTATTTGAAGGTGGGCTCTAATTTGATTGTTTAGAACCTCGGCTCTATACAAACCGCACCCAACAATTAAATAGTTAAAAATTAAATATATTTATTTGACCCTACAAATAGGACCCTAAATTCAAAGTGAGAAAATGAAAAACTCCTTTTGATTTCATTTTGGAATCCATTCATGATAATTTATTTCATTTGAAGGACTCCTTTAAAGGTTACCGATCCTTGCACAATGGTGCTTAATTAAATTTTGCTTTGACAATGACTTATCGAGACCTTGGAATGCAGCCTTCTACCTGGGTCTATGGTAAGTTACAGTATGTCTCCAATATTTCGTCCAACTAAGTAACCAATTTGGACTTTTTTTAAATAATATTTAATAAAAATGAAACTCTAAATCTCCGGGGCACCTACCGTAAGCACCTCAGCCTCAAATCCATGGGCTCGGTTTGGAATATTAATTAAAACAAAGTAAAACCTCACCTCGAATTTTAATCCAAAAAATATTTTGGCCATCACAGATTTCCAACGCTGACTATGAAATTTGAAATTAAAAAAATAATATAGTTTTTGTAGACCATTTTTATGGTGAAATGGATGGTTTACACAATGTGTTAAAATACATATCATATTTAGAGCTTGAAATCTTCTTTTTTTTTTCACAGCTATAATGGTCAAGGTTGAGATGACGGACTAGAATATTTTGTGATGCCTAAACTATAATTTTTTTTTACAAATTTTATTGTGAGGTTTTACTTATTTTGATGGGCTGCAATCCTATCACAATATTTTCTTAAAATAAATAAATAGTTCATCACCAATGAGAAAAGGGTTGTCCTTTGTTCTCCAATTTGCGGGTCCCACCAAAATTCAAACAATTTACCTATGGTCAAAATCATTTATAATCACATTTAGAATTAGGGAAAATTCTTGGAATTCTCATTTAGCTTTTCCGCATAAACGATTGATTTTGTCCACAAATTTGTCCATATCTATTATTCCATGGTTGAAAAGTCGGGAGAAAAGTTATGTCTAGACCAATGGTTTAAAAAACGGATCAGTGACCCGGATCGGGCTTCCAAAAAATCGATCCGGATCGGTGAATCGGCCATCCGGTTCGGGAATCGGGTGAATCGGTCAGAATAAAGCTTAAAAAAATTCGAAAAAATTATTAAAATTCATTATAAATATTGTTTTTTAGGAATTCAATAAAAAATGAGGGTACTCCATTAAGAATTTTCATGTTTTTGAATGAATATGCGAATATTGATATGTTCTTTCCCTGCATGAACCGCCATTCAGCATTTAATTTACAGTATTTCATGCTCATCCCTACACTGTTGCTGTTGGGACTCGATATGTGAATAATATGGCTAGGATAGGGTGGCCTCAGAATCATCATCTCTCTCGTTTTCTCTTTGAATAATATGGATTAAAAAATAAATAAATAAATTTTCAAAAAAATCGATCATGGATTAAAAAAAAAATCACAAATTTTCAAAAAATTCTATCATGGATTACAAAAAAAATTCGATCATGGATTAAACAAAAAAAATCACAAATTTTCAAAAAATTCAATCATGGATTACATAAAATTCGATCATGGATTACAAAAAAAACAAACAAAAAAAACAAACAAAAAAAACAAAAAATTCAATCGTGGATTACAAAAAAAGAAAAAAATAGTTCGATCATGAATTACAAAAAATTCAATCATGAATTACAAAAAACTCTAT